TTTTTTTTTTTTTTTTTTTTTGAGACGGGATTTCTCTGTGTAGACTTGGCTGTCTTGGACTCACTTTGTGGACCAGTCTGGCCTCAAATTCACAGTGATCCACCTGCCTCTGCCTCCCTGAATGCTGGGATTAACGTTGTGCGCCACCATGCCTGGCTTATGTATCTTTCTTTTATAATAAAATATTTACTTATTTTTATTTTAAATGTGTGAGTGTTTTGCTTACAAGTATATATGTGCATATATGCATATCTAGTGCCCATGGAAGACAAAAGGGTGTTGGAGGCCCTGGCGCTGGAGTTATGAATGGCTGTAAGCCAGTATGTGGGTGCTGGGAACCGAATCAGGTCCTCTACAAGAGAGACAAGTGCTCTTAGCCACAGAGCTGTCTCTCCCGCCCTCTCATTTCTTTCTTAAAACACAGCCCACATTTTATTTACAAGGTTGTCTTACAGTTGCAACTCAGGTCTACCCAGTTCCCTTTCAGACTTAATTAAATGTCTATTACAATTCCCTACTGTTTTTTGTGTAGGCTTAAATCCCTGAGGCTGGGTCGGCAAGATGGCCCGTGACTCAGAGAGTAGGAGAACTTGTGGCTAAGCCTGGGGACCTGAGTTGGAGCCTCAGGGCTCACATGGGGGAGGAATGGAACTGACCCTTGCAAGCCACCCTCTGACTTCTGCATGCACACATGCTAACTAATTGATTAATTTATTTATTAATAGATGTGTTTTTTTAATCCTCTAGAGTTAGGGAGTGCAGCTCAGTGGTCAGGCATCCTGAATTCAATCTCCATAACAAATGACTTATAAAAAAATAAGATAAAAAACAAAGGATCGTAACGCAGACAGCATATGGCACCAAAAATCAAAAGATTTGCTGTCTGGCTCGTTACACAAACTGTAAAGCCAAGACTCAAAAAGACTTTGTTTGTGGGACTGTTGTATGGTTGGGTCTAGACTTTGTCCCCTTTCTCCATTTTCCCCTCTTCCTTTTAGTAAAGAGTTACCACTGTTGGACATTGCTCTGATGCATGTTACTGGCCCTCAAGATCTAGTTATACCTGTTCTTGTTGTATAAACCTGCCTAAGACATACCTGATTGGTTGATTAAATGGCCTATACCCCTGCACAGGGCAGAATGGAGTAGGCGTGGCTAAAATTCCCTGGCTTGGAGAGGACAGGAGAATCACAGGAAACAGGCAGGAAGAGAGGAGGAAGGAGGATGCCAGAATGGGTTAGTGTGGAGAGAAAAAAACACATGGACTGAGAGGAAGGACTCCAATAATGGCGTGAAAAGGCCCAGATGAAGAATATAAGCAAGTACCATGGGATTATGGATGGAAGGTAGATCAGTGAGGAGGATTAAGGTGGATGGCATTGGATGGGGGCTGGGAGATGGTGGTGAGGTTATTGAACCAGCGTAGGTGAAATATCTGCCTGGTCCAAGGTAAATGAGGCAATTACAAAATCTAACCAGTGTCTGTGTCTTATTATTTGTGGTAGTGGATTAAATAATACCTCCGTGATAATCTTGGGCTAAAAATAAACATTATATAGCTGAACACACAACGTTTTATGTACTACAACAACTGTTAAACATTGACAGGGCACATGACCTCCAGCTACAGTTTCAGCCTCACTTGCAGCTATGGGGGAGGTGCTCAAATGCCTAAACCTTGGCCCAACTCACGTGACAAAATGTTTATGTGTGTAACTTACACTCAAATCCTTAAAAAAAAAGCTGTCAGAGCCCACACACCCTCTTCATCTTCTTCCTACAAATCTGGGGAAGACAAAGTCCCGGGAAGCAGGGATTGAACCTCTAAGTGATGACAAAGGGAGCCACAAGATAGAAAGCTCTTTGGGCATTGTCATGGACAGAGCCATCCTTCTACCTAGAACCATTTGCCTGGCTCTGAGAGAGGGGGGAGGGAGGGGGAGGGAGAGAGGGAAGAAGAGAGGAAGGGAGGAAAAAAGGGAAGGGAAAGAAAGAGAGAGAGAGAATCTTACCTTCTGTATGAGCCATTGTTCTAAGTCTTTTGTTTTCTGCCTGGCCTGACCCTGACTGGCAGGTAGAGAAGTGGTTGCCATTAGATAACAAAAACAAGACTCCGGTAGCCTAAGGTCCTCTGTACCCCAGGGTCGTGTGTACCCCTAGGTCCTCTGTCACGGTATCTTTGTGTTTGTGTGCCCCATTGCAGAAGGACTCTCTATGTGTGCAGGAATCGTGGCTTCGCATCCTCATCTCTAAAACCCTAACATCCAAGGAAAAGAAGCATTTTTCCTTGTAGCTCCAATTCAGAAGCCAGAGAAGCAGCTGGGGAGATGGCTCAGCAGTCAGAAAGCACTGGCTACTCTCCCGGGGGACCGGAGTTTCATTTCTAGCATGCCTATGGTGGCTTACACCCTCTGTAATTCCAATCCAAGGGGACTTAAGGCCATCTTCAGCCTCAAGGACACCATGTGTGCACGTGACATACATGCAGTCAAAGCCTCATAATTAAATAAGTAAGAACAAAATTTAAAAGTTGTTTTTTTAATCACAGGGCTCTATGTGGATGACTCCGAATCACGTGGTCACCGAGCTCAGAAGCTCCCAAGGTGGAGAAGGGGGAAGATTTTTGCCATTCAGAAGATAGCCAGAGATGCTCTTAGATGCTGTAACAGGCTGGGGTATATACCATGGGCATTTGGTGAGGAGAGGCCAGGCAGTCCAACAAATGTCCTGCAGGGCTCAAAACAAAGAATCAGCTAGGCAGAGCCTCAAAGTCCCCAGGCTGAACCCAGTTTTAGACCAATCCTATGAACTCTCCAGGAGCTACCAGGATTGTGACCACTTGTCATCTCCTGGTCTAAGCTACCATTTCCCCCTCTTGGATGGTGCCAGTACTTATCATGTCCCTCTACACAGCTGCCCGATTTGGGGCATGTCCCTCCTCTTCCCTAAGCTCTATAGCACACTTGCCATTTCACTTGGAGGAAACTTCACCTGCCAAGGCCCTGTCTGACTTGGAACCTTATTTCTTCTCAGCCTCATGTCTGTCCTTTTTTCTATTCTTTTCAATATTTACCTATTTAACTAGCCTGCCTGTATGTCTGTAGAACGTGCATATTTCTGGCCTGGTGTCCATGGAGGTCAGAAGACAGTACTGGATCCCCTGCAGCTGGCATTACAGTTGTGAGCTGCCCTGTGGGTGCTGGGAATTAAACTCATGTCCTCTGAAAGAGCAGCCAGTGTTCTTAACCTCTGAGCCATCTCTCCAGCCCTTCCCCCCACCCTTTTTTAAAAGAAGACCTACTTATTTTTAATTTATGTGTATATGTGTATGAGTGTTTACTTACATATGTGTAGGTACGGCGTATGCATGCCTGGTGCCAGCAGAGGCTGGAAGAGGGTGTCTGACCTCCTGGAACTGGCCTGACACAGCTGTGGGCTGTCCTATGGGATGTGCTAGAAGCTGAACCTGAGTTCTCTGCACAAGCAGCCAGTGCTCTTAACTGCTGGGCTGTCTTTCCATCTTTCCAGCCCTCTTTACTGTCTTAAAAAAAATGTTTTTAATGTATGTGTTTATGTTTGTCTGTATGTCGTGTGTGTGTGCAGGTACCCATGGCGGCAAGAAGTGGGCCTTGGTTCCCTGGAACTGGAGTTACAGATGGTTGTGAGCTGTCACGTGGGTGCTGGGAACCAGACCCAGGTCCTCTGATGAAGCGGCAATCCTCTTTTCTTTTTGGTTTCTCTCTCTCTTTCTCTCGCTTTCTCTTTCTCTCTCTCTCTCTCTTTTTTTTTTGACAGGATTTCTTTGTGTGGCCCTGGCTGTCCTAGACTCACTGTTGTAGACCAGGCTGGCCACAAACTATGAGACCCATCTGCCTCTACCTCTCGAGTGCTGGGATTAAAGGAAGGGCCACCACGCCCAGCTTGTAGCAATCCCTTCTAACTGCTGCAGAACCATCTCTCCAGCTCCCTCTTTTTGCTATTCTTTCTTTTTTTTTTTTTTTTTTTTTTTTTAGTATTGCTCTTCTTAGAACATACCAAGCATGCCCCTGCCTCCAAGCCACAGCATTGGCTGCTCTTCCTGCTCATGTGGACTCGTGTCCTCACTTCAGTCAGGGCTCTGCCCAGGTGACACCTTATCATCAAGGCTTTCCCCTTATGGACAGCATTACCCCCTATAAAGCCACCAGTTTCCTCTCCCAAATTACTTCCTCCGATACTTACCATCACCTGATTGGCTACACACCTTTGCTGTTGTTGTTTGCTTCGTCTTCTGACTTTTGAGACAGGGTCTGACCCTGTGTGTTAATCCGGACTTGAATTTGCTATGTAGGTTGACTTTGAACTCTCAATCCTCTTGCCTCAGCTTCCCAGCTGTTGAAATTACCTAGGTGTTCTAGCACCATTAACCAGACTTACTTGTTCATCTACCACCCATGACCTGGTAACACATAAGCAGTTCAGGCAGTGGTAGTTTTGTTTATTGCTGTATTTTCACCCCCATGATAGTGCTGGTATGTAGTAGAGGCTTAAGAAATCTTTCTTGGCCAGGCAGTGGTGGTGCACACCTTTAATTTCAGCACTCGGGAGGCAGAGGCAGGTGGATCTCTTGAGTTGAAGGCCAGCGTGGTGGATTTCAGGACAGCCAGGGGTGCAAAGAGAAACTCTCTTTTAAATACACACACACAAGCACACACACACAAATGAAGAACAAGGAGAAGGGAAGAAAAGAAGGAAGGAAGACCGAAATCTTTGTTGAATGAATGCATTGCTGTGACCTTGGGATGAGGCTGTTCTAGAAGAATCACATGGATGGAATAGATTCTCCAGAGCAGATGGGAATCATGGTATGTAGACAGGGCTGCTGGGAGAGTCATGACAGCTGGGGCTTACCCAGGGTGTGCCTGTGTATCATGGTTCTTTCACAAACATTATTCTTTTGATCCTCACAACACCCTAGAAGGATAGATATTGTCCTTCCCATTTGAGAAACTAAGGCACAGAGAGGCCAGGGCACGTATGCCGCCTCCAAAGAGATTTAGGGCAAAACTCCTATCTTAGGGCACTATTGCAGTGTCTCTTTAATGCTCATTCATTCTCTAGTGCTCACTGACCTCTGAGCCCCTCTACTTCTCCGTCAACTCCCCCCCCCCAAATCCTCCACAAGGAGTCAACTGGGTGAAAGAACCCAGTCCCACCCTCTCTGGCTTGCTCCTGCTCAGACCTCACAGCAGAACAGCAGGCGCTTGGCTGCTGGAAGGAAGGGTTAACAAGGAGTGTTTGTAGCAGCTGCTGTCTCCAAGGAGAGGAAGAAAAGCAGAGCTGCAAGGAGGCCGAGGCCACAGCCTAGATGCCTGTCTTTCAGGCTCCCTGGCGGGTGACAGTGGCAGGTCAGAGGCAGCAGATGACCTGTCCAGCCTTGGGAAGAGACTAGTCCCCTCAACTTTCACCAGCCCTGGAAGTGCTGAACCCTGAGTGGACTAGGCAGCTGAGAGTGAGGTTGCTTCGGGGCCACCAAAACGGAAAGTTCAGGCAGGGACTGAGGAATGTGGGCAGTGGGGGATGGGCCCAGCCCAGAGGCTGAAATCGGGAGCAAGCTGCAGAGCCAGAAGCTCTGGGCTATTGGAGGGTAGAAGGGGACCCATTGAACCAAGGACAACTGGGCCAGGACCTTGACTTAGCAGGTAGTAGTAGAGAGACAGCAGTGGGGGACAGGAGTCTCCTGCTTCCTCCTGCACTGCACTTCAGTTTCAGCCATGTCTCAGCATGGGGGACACAGGAGGAGGCCCAGGACCCCAGGGCCTCCTGTTCGCAGCATCCGGCCTTTCAAGTCCAGCGAGCAGTACTTGGAGGCCATGAAGGAAGACCTGGCCGAGTGGCTTCAGGATCTGTACGGGCTGGACATTGATGCAGCCAACTTCCTGCAGGTGCTGGAGACTGGCCTGGTGCTGTGCCGGCATGCCAACACTGTCACAGAGGCCGCTCTGGCCTTCCTGGCTGAGTCACCTGACCGAGCTCAAAAGATTCCCCTGCCCCAGGCTGGGGTTTTCTGCAATGGGGCTGCTCAGCCGGGTACCTTCCAGGCCAGGGACAACATCTCCAACTTCATCCAGTGGTGTCGCAAGGAGATGGGCATCCAAGGTAATGCACCCATCTCAGGCTGTAATCTTATGGGGGCACGTGTCACCTGGAGGGTCAAGTTAGATCGGGGAGTCAGGACTGAGGTGTTCTTCTAGATTTCCCATGAGGTAGCTCCGCTTTATATGCCTCGGTTTCTCCACCTCACAGTAAATCCTTAGTAAACTCACAGCGATAAACATTCGCCAGTGACGAATATATGTGATGAAGATATATGCATCATCACCTTTTCTGTTTCCAGTGCATGCTGGGTACCAAGAACTGAGAGGAGTAGATTCCCAGTGCCCTGGAATGAATGGCCTAGGAAGGCAGACAGACGAACAGATTCAGAAATTACAGACCAGGGCCATGTGTGCTTGAAAGGGGAGCATATAAGATGGGGTCTAGAATGGGAATAAGCAGCCTGATGACATCCAGCAAGGGCAGCAAGAGGGAGGAGATTTGGGCTGACAGAGAAGTTTGTGAGAGGGAATTAGCAGGCAGGGGGAGAGCAGTGGCAAAGCAAAGAAGGGTGGACAGCTGAGAGAAGTTGGCCAGTGAGTATGAGGGACTGAAGAAGGGGTTCTCAACCTTCCTGATGCTGAGGCCCTTTGATACAGTTTGCCATGCTGTGGTGACCTCCAACCATAAAATTATTTTTGTTGCTACTTCGTAACTGTAATTTTGCTACTGTTATGCCTTGTAATGTGAATACCTGATATGCAACCAACCCAAAGGGGTTGAGAGTCACAGGTTGAGAATTACTAGACTAAAGAATGGGAAGGAAGCTCAAATTGGGGGGGGGGGGGGGAGGTCTGCAGGGAGGGCCACAGTCCTCCAGGGACTTCGAGGGTTCAGAGAGTAACAGTTGTTGGCCTTGAACCCAGGAATAGGATTAGGCGTGATTGCACAATTCTCCAGGCCAAAGGTAACTGGAATGAGAGAGGGTCAGGTTTGGACTCCTGGCTGGTGGCAGGAGGGGCGGGGCTGGATCAGAGGTTAGGCAAAGCTAATGATGTAGCTTATGTACCAGGCTTTGGGTTCCATACCCAGCACCAAACCCCCAAACAAGTGAGGCCTTCTGTTGAGGTAGGCTACAGCCCTGTTTTTCAGAAGATAGAAACTCCGACTCTGGGACTAGCTTGGTGGTTGATGTGGCTTAGCCACTGGGAGATTCTGGGACTGAGCTTTATAGGGTAGGGTACCCAAAGCCTACTGTCGAATCAGCCTGGTAATCTAGAGCTGAATTTGGGGTGTCCATAGGATAGGTAGGAAGAGGAAGAAACTGCTTCTTCTTCTTGGGATCTTCTTGGTGACTAAGGAGAGTGGGAGAGAGAGACCTTCCCCTCACCTAGGATCCAAATAGTTGCCTACTCACCAGCCTTTGTTGTTAGCCTGGCTGCCTTATGGGGACCCCTTCTAGAAGCCTCTTCAACCCGAGATGCTGAGACCTGAGCCACCCTCCTGTGGGATGGGCTCCAGCAGAGGACTTAGCCACCCGGGGCCCCCTTCTCTGCTTCGCCCCACACCAGAGGTGCTGATGTTTGAGACGGAGGATCTGGTGTTACGCAAGAACGTGAAGAGCGTCGTGTTGTGCCTACTGGAGCTGGGTCGCCGCGCCTGGCGCTTCGGTGTGGCGGCACCCGCCCTGGTGCATCTGGAAGAGGAGATTGATGAGGAGCTGCGGCGTGACCTGGACCTGCCCTCGCCGGACCCGCCACCACCTGCACCCCCGACACGCAGACCCTGCCACTTCCACGATCTGGACCAGATGGTGAGGCGCCTGGCCATGCCCTCAGGACCAGCTCGCACCCTGCTGGTCCTTCTTTCTCAATCCCCACCACCCTGCTTCACTGCAAGCACTGACCCTTATAACACATGACAGTGGCTATTGCCATTTTCCGCCTTTTCGCCAGCCCAGCAGGGCACACCTCTCATCCAGCTCTGTGGACCGGATGCCAAGGACACGGATGGCATCCTTGCTGCCAGTCTAACGCCCACCCTGTGGCTTTGGACAAATCGTTTAACTTTCCTGAGCCTCGGTTCGCCACCACATAGTCTAACGAGGCACAGTTCCCATTTCCTGGGAGGGCTGTGAGAATGAAGTGAACCAACAATGGAGTCCACGTGGTTTCCAGAGTGGAATCCCACCACAGGATGGGTCACTTCCCTGAGGAGACCAGCCTGGGGGTTTGTGTGTGCGTGTTGGGGCAGCTATCTAGAGGCAGATAGGCACCTCACTTAGCTTGACCCACTATGTGAATCGACTCGGGTATTCAGGCAGAGAAGAGAGCTGAGCCTCTGCCACTGCCCATAGGTGCAGAGCCTCGTGAGCCATTGCACATGCCCAGTGCAATTCTCCATGGTCAAGATATCTGAGGGGAAGTACAGAGTGGGGGACTCCAACACTCTCATCTTCATCCGGGTAAGTCTGGCCCATAGAGGGGCATCCAGGGTCAGTAAATGGTGTTTCTTTCCATAGAACTGGGACTAGGCCGGAGGGCAAGGACAGGAGGTCACCCATCATACACCCTAAGTCATCGGGCCTTGGAATTTTCCAGAAGATTCCAGGCCAAGTTGCAAACCTGTCCCTTCCTCCCCTCAGAGCAGCGGGCGCCACCATCTCCATCAGAGCCGAGTCTACAGGGTGTCCTCAGGCAGAAATAGGGTATCTACAAAGGTACCCTCACTTTCCCATTCCACGGGATAGGTCAGAGGGAGGGACCTGAGAACCTGGGCTTGCGCTGAGTGTGCAGCCCCAGCCATTTGGATCCCAAAGTACACAACTCGGACCCTGGACGCATCCATTCTCTAGAGCGAGCGGCAGTGCAGGTCTGGAACGGGCTTCTCACTAGCCTTCCAGGGACTTGTTTCATTACAGAGTTGGGCAGAACTCCCTCTGTCTCTGTCACACATCACAGAGACATGGTGGTCCCAAAGCAATTGCGAGCAGAGATAAGGGCAAACCTCTGTATAGCAAAGAGAGTGTCCTGGGACCTGTCCGGTTAGCCAGCGTCTATGAGATCCTCTGTCTAGTTGTGGGTGTACCACTTCCTCTTTGCCAGTTTGGCTCCCACCCTTGACAAGTGATGTCTGATGCCGGTCATGGATAAGACTCAGCAGCAAAATATCCTGTCTCCCAATCACATACGTGGGCGAGGGTTTTACAGGAATAGGGTGGGCCCGCCACTCAGCTCTCAGCCTTCCCTTTGCCCCTTCAGATCCTCCGGAGCCACGTGATGGTGCGTGTTGGCGGCGGCTGGGACACGCTGGGCCATTATCTGGATAAACATGACCCCTGCCGGTGCACGTCCCTCTGTGAGTTCCCGAGAATTTTCCTCTGTGGGGCTGGTTAGAGAGGCAGAGCTCCTGGCTGGGAGGCCAAGAGTTGGAGGGCAAATAGGCCTGATCTCCAGGGAACTGTGGGTGAGGGGCTGTCCTGGCGCAATACTAAAAGGAACCAGAAGGTGGCGCGCAAGGCCCGCAGTAAAGGCACACCTCAGAAGCTTTCATGTCTGGCCATGAAAACTGAAGGTTTTCAGTCCTTCTATAATATTCATCAATACGTCAAGTCACCCCGAGTAAGCATACAATTTGAATAAAAATTGCAGATTGGCAATACGACATAGTTTTCAGCAAATCCTGACGTTGGGTGCTCTGACCAGATTGTGTCCCCTGAGGCCCCTTGTAGAAACTGGGACTGCCACTGTAGGCTCTGGTGCCTGTAAGGGGGAATAAGGAGAATTTGACAGTGTGGAGAGGAGGAACAACGAGTTTCACAAACAGGAATGACCTTTCTTCTTTCTTCTGCATTCTCTGGGCTCTACCTGGATAGCCCACAAACCAGGCAGCTTCCTGAAGCCCCCAGGACCACCGGTGCAGCATGAGGTGAAGGTGCAGGCTGGGCCCTCACAGCCCCATCCTACAATGACCGTCAGCCGCTCGCAGAGCCCACTGCCTCCAGTGGACTGGAAGACATACACCTCTTCCAGTCGAAAGCTGAGGCCCCCTACTCCCTCTTCTTCTAGACCCCATGGTGGACAAGGAGCAGAGGCCAGGACCCTCAGAGAGATGGTTCCACCGCTAAGGTAATAGTCAGGGACATGTAAGGATCTCCCCCATATTCTGTTCTCAAAGGCTCATCCGCCAAGTGAAAGGGAATGATACCTTATCCAACAAAAATTCACAGATGCCAAGTATGGTGGCATGCGCCTAGACTCCTATCATTCAGACAGCAAAGGCAGGAGGATTGTGAATTCAGGGTCTTCCTGGGCCACTTAGGGAGGCCATATCACAAAATCATATAGCCCAATGGGACAATGTTTCCCTACCATGCATAAGACCCTGGAGTCCATACCCCAGAGCCACAGAACAAGACAAAACCTCAGCAGGTTGCAATCAAAACAGCACCCAGCATTTAAGGATCGTCTAGTTGCTCCAAATACCTACCCACTTTTGTAGACAAGGAGGCTGAGGCACAGAAAATGAATGGCCATATTCAGTGTTCTTCAATTCCATGACAAAGCTAAGATTGAGACCTGCCCCAGATATGGGTAGTGTTGATTTTCAGCCTTCTGGTTGGGAATTGTCCCTTGAATGGTCTAAAGTCACCTTCTGTCTGCTACATGGGGAACAGGGAAGCACAGGCTGCAAGAATGGCAGCGTAGGGGACCCCTGGTTCGTTCTGGGGAAGAACACTGGTCATCTAAGCCCCCCCCCCAACGGTGTTCCTGTGGGAAACGCCTCTGATTGTCCTGAGTCTCCCTCTCCAGCCTATTTTTCTCCTTTTCAGGTCCGAAGAGAGACCAATGACTCCATCTCGGAAGATGTTGCCACCTGGTCCCCAGTTCTCATCTGCCTGTAGGAGCCCGAACTTAGAGTGTCCCCTGTCGGGGAAGAGAGAGAATAGATGCCCGGGTGAACTATCCAGAGGAAGGACTCCCACATCTTGGGTTCACAAGGAAACAGACAGCCAAGGAACACACACCAAGGCCCCCAGGAGGCTCCAAATCCCCGAAGCCACCAGTAAAGGGACATCAGCAAAAGGACCATGTCCCCCACCTCGCTCCTCCAGCCTCACCAATCCTAATAGTATCTGGCTCCTGCACCGGAGTGCCTCCCCTCAGCTCAGTGCACCCAGGCCTGTTCAATCCCCACCCCCTGGCAAAGGGTTCACCAAGATTCCCATCCGACTGTCCTCTGCCCGACCCCCAACTCCAGGAAATAGTTCTTTGGGTACTGAAGGTGGAGGTTCCACAGGAAAAGTCTCCATCACATCAGGGACCCTCACAGGGAGCCTGGATAGATCCACAAATGGGCATCGCTCCATGGAAGCAAGCCATGGGGACCACCAGGTGGACATACAGATTCCTCCCGAGACTGAAGTTTCCAGGAACCTTGGTGCACAGCAGCAGAAGGTGAGGTACACCCCTCTGTCCCTGGGCAGGACCAGAGCACAAGCCACCTATGACAGTCTTGAAGAGGAGATTGTGGCCAATATGAGACTGCTGGAGGTGGGGGCAGCCTGTACTCAGGGCGCAATGTCTCAAGTCATTCCTCGAAGTGGGGTCTATGTTCCCAGCCTGGGTGGAAGGTGGCCTGAGCCCGGGGGTCCTTATGATAAAGTCATCCAGGAATTGGCTCAGGGGCCCCCACCCCTCTTTAAAGTGGATCTGAACGCCTGGAAGGTAGGCCCTAGAGGCCCCCCTAAGCCATCAGTGGGCCCAGGAAGCCCCAAAGAGAAGCTAGGATCCAGAGAGAAGGGGCTGAGGTTAAAGGCAAGCCTGAGTACCAAAGGAACCACAGTGAGGAGGACTATTCTGCCTTCAAGAGGGCAGGACAGCTCTACCCTGATGGTGCCTGCTGCCCTGGAGGTTCCTGGACATTCACACTCAGATCTCGGTTCTGACAAAGCCAAGGTATGTCTGGGCAAGGGAAAGAGGACCCTTCGGAAGCCCCAGAAGGTCCCATCCATTTACAAGCTGAAGCTGAGACCCAGAATCCGGCCCCGTAGAGACCACAGGCCTGAGAAAAGACCTTCCAGAATTCCCAAGCCACTAGCCTACCTCTGCCTGGCTCCAGTCAGGACAGCTCCTGGAAGCAGGCTACTGAAAGCTACATTGGGTGTCAGGGGAGGTGGCACCTGCCAGGTAAATCAAGCAGGCGAAAAGGAGGAGGAAGAGAAAAAGGAAGAAGCCGGCACCTCATCAGAGAGCAGCGCCCAGCCTTTGGAGAGCCAGGAGTCTCCGCAGCTTCATGGAAGCCCATTTCCACCTGAGGAGGAATCTTGGGTCTGAAGAGCCTGCAGGTGGGGAGGGCACAGCAAAGTACATGTAAGAAAGGACAGTCCCTCACTCAGCATAGGGTCTTGGCCAGGAGTAAGTCTGAAGACCCTATCTGTTCAGTTGAGCAGAAGGGCAGCCCATAGCTCCCACTGCAAGCCAGCATCAGGCCAGCCGTGATGGGGAGAACCCGACAGTATCTTATTGTTGGCCAAGAAGAGCTCTTCAGCCTCTGGACATTTCCACAGCTGTAAGTTATTAAACACAAGTGGATCTGTCCTTGAGCCTCAGCCTTTTGAGTCCCTTCCCTCCCTAAGGCTGTGGAACTGTAGCGAGGTGTGACTTCAAATGTCTCTGCTGGAGGTGATGGAGACAGTGGTCCTCAGAGGAGCTCAGCTGAGATCAGGCGCTCAGGACCTTGGACAGCAACAAAGGCCTTTTCCCTTGGGCTGCCACAGGCTACCCTTGATGTGGATTTCAGATTTGCCCCTGGTCCTGACAACAGGGTGAAAGAGGGCCAGTTGAGAGTACCCATCATACTTCTGTGTCTAAGAAGCTATGGTTCAGAGCCTCGGGTTTGACACCAACTGGGAGGAAGATGCAGAAGCAGTTAGGATTGAGTCTCACAGGCAGCTGTGAAGGCAGGTGATGGTACCCTGTGTGTGTGTGGCTGGGATTAGCCAGCAGGAAAGGAGTTACATCCAGAACCCTTTCCCTATCATCCCTTGGTTCACCTGGTCCTTCAAGAGTGGGGAGCACCACTCTTTACACACACACACACACACACACACACACACACACACTTCTTCAGGGACCCACTCTTCCCTCTGTGAGCAACAGAGCTGACACTGAGGTAGAGAAACGAGGGAAAACACTCCCTGATTTTTAATCTGACTTCCAATAACAGCTCAATGGGTGTCACACACACTTCCAGACCCTGTGTGAGAAACCCTGGTTGGGGAGGGGAAGAACAGAGACTCAGAGTGGGGGAAGGGTGGAGGGACCTGAAATCCAAGACCTGGGGTGAAGAGGAAAGGGTGAGGGGGGCTACATTCCAATGACTCCCCCACTGGGGGCGGCCAGAGGCCTGGATCCCTCACCCTCACCTTGAGTGCCTCAGAGTTGGGGGGTGATTGGGCACGAGAAATGCCGCCATCTTGACCCCACGCCTGGAGGAGCCAGCGGTGGGGTTGCAGGAGAGGAAAGTGGGCGTCCCTCCTCCGTACCCTCCCAGCCACTCTGAAGTGTGGGGAAGGGGAGCCACCGCCTCTGGTTCAGAGGGAGGCTCAGAGAGGGCAAGTCGCTAGCCCCGAATTGTGCAGGACTGCAAGGACTAGAACCCAGAACGCTAGGCTGCCCACGGTCAGGGCTGCTGCCGTTGTACTGCAGTGCCTCCCCACTGGGTGGAGGGAGTGAGATTCAGTAGAGGAAGCAGAAGAATCATAGATTCCCTCCCACACGGGAACACCATATATTCCCTACCCCACCCTGCCCCCAGATTCCTCTCCATCACCTCTCTGAGTACCTGATTTCCTGGTCTGTGCACTGCTGCCTTGGCAAAGACTATGTACCCCTATGTACAGGCATCTTCATACCCTTCTTGACAAAGGGTACTCATGCTCCCAATGGGACCAGGGCTGACTGAGGCTGAGGGCTCAGCCTCAAGAACTTTCTTTGGCCGGGGCAAGGGACACGGCACCACTTCTTTTTCTCCCTCCCTCCAAGTCCCCGAGCAATCCCCTCGGGCCATTCCTGGAATCTCCATTATTATTATTTCTAAGTCGGTACAAAACTGACAGTGATCAGCTCCGGTGACGAGAGGTAGAAACCCGGCCAGGCAGCCGGGGAAAATGGGGTGGGTGAGTTAGGACAGAGGGCCAACCTGGTGTGGGGGCAAGGGGTCAGATCCTGAGGGCCTCCACCTATGGGTGGGGATGCATGCCTCTCTCCCCCGGGCACAAGAATCTCCTTCCTTCTCATTCTGTTCCTGGCTCTGCCCCTACGCAGACTGATCAGGACGACCTGAGACCTGATGGAGGCAGAGTCTTAGGCAGTTGGACTGAGGTGGAACTGGGACACAGAATCAACAGTAGCATCACCTGACACCCTTCCGGACACCATCTTGCCCACCACCAGTCTCCCCCAAACTCCACATCCCCCAACGTAGCAGACCATCCCAGCGCAGGAGGTAACCGAGAAGTGGGACCTTCTCGGAGAGAAAATCATCCTTTAAGGAGCTTTCCTCTCCACACTGTCAAACAAAACAAAAAGAATTTCAGCCCGGGGGGGTGGGCAATCTGGCTTTGGGGTCAGGAGGGGTGGGGGGCACCCGGCAGGGACCACTGAGTTAAGGCTGGAAGGTAGGTGGTTGCGTCTCTGGGGGCTGCTGGGCAGGGAGGTCTTCCTGGGCGAGGGAGAGCTCAGCCTTCTCTCCCTGACGGCTCTCGGACCTCGGACCCCTCGGCTTTGGTCCTTGGGGCCACATGCATCTCTCTGCCCTGTGCCGGTGGCGCTGCCGGGGAGAAGGCCTGGCATCGCAAAGCTGCCAGGATCTGCGACAGGGGATGGACGAAATGAGAGCCCTGTGAGCGGAGCTGGGGGGCGGGGAGGGACACTGGAGGGCAGATAGAACAAATGCGCACCGACAGACCCTTGTGAGGACAGACACTGAAAAGGGGGACACGGGGTAAAGACAGACACACTGCGGGGAAGATGGGCGGGGGCCCCGGCCAAGACAGCACCTCCTCACCCTGCCCCCCATTTCACACGCTCACCCCTCGGCCCACAGGTGGTAGCCCCTCCTGGGGCCGGGCACTAACACTACAGCACGGAAGGTGGCTTACCCAGGGCTACCCAGGTTGGAGGGGAGGACTGGGGAGTGGCAGGGAGACTCCTTCTCGCCCTCTGATTCTCGTGGGGGTGGGGGGAGGTGTGTGGCTGTAGGGGTGCTTCAGGCCTCGGAGCCCAGAGTTCTCCTCCGGGGGGGGGGTTCCCTGCTCTGGCCCTGGTGTCCCGCGGGAGGCCGGCCCCGCCCCGCCCTCCCTTCCGCCGGGGACGGCGCCGCCGCAGGGCGCGCGCGGCGGGCGTCACATGATGGCGCAGCGGTTTCGGCGCAGCGCGCCCTGGAAGCGCAGGGCTGCGTGCACGTGTCTGCAGCGGGCGCAGCCCACACTCTTGAGCAGCTCGCTGAAGAGCAGCAGGATGTGCCAGTTGTACTTGGCCGAGCACTCCACGTAGCCGCACTTCCAGGTCTTGCGCACCAGGTGCGACACGTTCCAGCGTGGAATCACGCGCCCCCGCTGCAGGTCGCGCTTGTTGCCCACGATGATGATGGGCGTCTCCGAGGTGCCGATCACCCTGCGGGGTCGAGGCAGAAATCTGAGGGCGCTGCCAGTCTCACAACGGCTGGGCTCCGCGACAGCGCGTGCTCTGATCCGGGCGCAGCCCCAACCCCTTGGAGGAGGTCACGGCTACAAAGCACATCTTTGGATCCAAGAAAGTCGATAGTATTGTTCTATTTCACAGACAAGGAAACTGAGGCTTATATGGCAAACTGATCCGCAGCCATTCACCCCCAGCCCCTGTTCTTCGCTATTAGTGTAGCCACGTCATAAGTCCCAAAGCGAGTCAACGGAAGTTGGTTATGTGACCCTCCCTGTAATTACCTGCGGCAGGGGGATTTTGAGTTCAAACCCAGCCTGGCTACATACTGAAACCCTGCCCCCCCCCCCAAAAAAAAAAAAAAAGGAAAGGGGGTGGGGACTTGTGGGAACCAGAAAACTCATACATTTTATCTGTGACCCTTCCACCCGCCCCCGCCCGTGTACCCCCTGTTTTTGGAGACAGCCTAGTTTTAGGGTATCTACTGAGGGAGCAATAGATTGTCACATCCCCTCACCTCGTCTCCAGGATCTGCTGACGGATGGTCTTGACGTACTCAAAGCTGTCAAAGCAGCAGATGTCATAGACCAGGATGTAGGCGTGGACGCTCCGGAGTCCCCTGCAGCAGGCGTCTGCCCACTCCTGCAACACCCCGGGTCAGTACCACAGTCAGAGCAGCCAGGAGACCTCCCAGCCTCCAGCCACCCTGTCAAACGGACAGTGGACAGCGCTCTCACCTGCCACCCTGACACCAGCACTTTCCACCCCCGCCCTCCACCCCTAGAGGGCCGAGCCCCGGGGGACACAGGTGCTCAGAGCCATAGCTTCCTCTCTCCTGTTGGGATAGAGGGAAGCCACAAGCTGGCTGACTTCCTAGCCCACCACACTGTCCTGTGCGGATCTGGAGGTTAGACTTGTCCGATCCATCCATCCGGTCCTTTGTTCAGAGTGTATCTGTAAATCCCCTTAAGAGCACAGCCTTGACCTAGTGTTTGTGCCTACTGTAATAGGCTTCCAAGGCTTAGCTGACGTGTCTCCTCCAAGAGGCAGGCCAGCCCCGATTTACCACTTTCCCGGCAAGCAGGGGACTATCCCCATCAGCTTCTGTGCCTGCGGCTGTGGATGATACCCTGGCTACAGCTATCCCATTTCTGGTTCCTCACAACTGCAGCAAACACCCAAGAGGGTCAGGACCCGGCTATTTAAATTTTACTCCCTCCCTCCTGCCCTGGTGGGCTCTCTCCACGGTTCTGAATCCCACAGAGCAGTGAGCCCTCCCCCACCCCCCATACCGACGTCTGGAAAGCCAGAACAAGGTAAATCCTATCTCTAACACGGCCCTCAGGTTGCTGCCTGAATGACAAGCCCGGAAAAGATTAAGACTGAAAGCTTAAGGGGGCAGGCTGTAGGAGACACAAGACTCTGCCTCCGCCTCTCAAATGCTGGGACTGTAAGCGTGCACCACCATGCCTGGCTTGACTCCTTGAACAGTCTTAAATATTTTTGTCTTTGAGAACTTCTCACCGAGGGGCTTCTGCTCAGGATGAATGCCCCCCCCCTCCCGAAAGGCTAAATGTGTTAAGGAGAGAAAGTTCCCTAAGAGATTAATTAGCTAGTTAATCTGCCAGCAGATGTAACTGCAAAAGTCTGTTCGGGAAGACAGCGTGCAGAAAGGAGTTCCCCGAAGAAGCTTTGGAGAGGAGACCTTGGGAGGCAAAGAAAAGCTGGGCCTCCCCCGGTGAGGCCCACAGAAAAGTCGAGAATGGGAGGAAATGGGTGCAATTCAGTCGCAAAGCATAGCCTGGCAAGTGGGAGGCCCTGGGGTTCCATGCCAATGCACATCAGGAGGAGGTGGAGGCAGGCCACCAGGCCCCGCCTGCAGGCAGTGGAGGTAGAGAGTTTCAGCTGAGGTCTAGGGGGCCGACTTGGGCAGCAGCTGTGGAGTGTAGAGTCTGACTGACTTCAGAAGGGCGCCTCCAACTCAAAGGCTGGAAAGATGCTGCAGTGGCTTTCCCTGGGGAGATGCTGTGACATCTTTGTGCTGAGGTTTTAATTTTTGGTGCAGAGGCAGGATGCAGACGACAGATCTATGAACGTAGGGAGTCACAAAGCTGCTTCCTCCTAGACCAGGGAACACCGTGTTTGGTGGGACACCATTACCTCAGGGGGAGGGCGGGAGGGGAGGCCTGCACGCCTACGAAACTCTTCTCTCACCCCGGAGGAGGAGAGAAGATGGCCTCCATTCTGCAAGCTCTCTGCTGGGTTGCCAGAGAGCAGCTGTCGAACTTTGAGGGTGACAGCCCCTCCCCTCCTCCAGCATTCTGCCTCCTCGAGGGGACCCCAGGATGCCTCCCACTCACTCTTCTCAGGAGGCTCCTAAAAGGGAGCGGCAGAAAGCTCCAGATTGGATAGGCTGTCCCTCCATTCCTTGACTGAAGGGAGGAGTAGAGAAAGCTCAGCCTTCCTGCCAGTGTGTTCCATGTAGGGTTCTGATTTGTTCCTCTAGAGGCCATCTTTGGGCTGCACTGAGTCAGGGAACGGACTGAACAGACAGCCCAGTGGTAAAGAATATGCTTATCATGCACAAAGCCCGGGGCCCCATCCTGTAGCTAACAAAGACAGAGATAGAGGAGGAAAAATGGAAACTGAATATAGCTCCAGGGATAGAAGTTTGAGGGGCTCAGTTACCTGGCCTCAGCCATGGGTTTTTGGGCATCTCCTTTGGCTGCACCCTCTAGTTTCAGCTCCCTGTTCTGGAGGAGAAGGTACTGGGGAAGGTAAGACGCTCAGACTCAATCAATTATTTTATTTCTAGAAAGTGGTCTTAAGGTTTAGATCTGGTTGTAAAGCTTTCAAGGTCCCTTCTTAAGAACTTCTTACTCAGAGCTCCTTAACTGTGCTCCAGGACTGAAATCTTTGAGAGCTTAGAATCTAATGTAAGGGTCAATCAAGAGGAAAAGGGTCAGCAGGGCATGGTGGCACATGCCTTTCATCTCAGCGCTTGGAAGGTAGAGGCAGTCAGATGTCTGTGAGCTGGAGGCCAGCCCGGTCTACAGAGTGAGTTCCAGAACACCAGGGGTTATGTATGTAGACAGAACCTGTCTCAAAAAAAAAAAAAAAAAAAAAAAAAAAAAAAAAAAAAAAAA